CGATGGTGTGGCCTTTAATGTGAAATATTCACTTTTTATATTTAATTTAAGCTGTCAGCACAACCGGCTTTAAACCTTTGAAGCTCTAACACTGTTTATTTAGAAGTTTTTAAAGCATTACTTTCAAAATAAGAGCTTCAGTAGAATTAAGACTATTAAGGATTTAAGTGCCACTGGTTTCAATCTGGGAGCCTTTAAATACTCTTCTTCCTGTCCTCTCAGGTATTATCACTTCCTGTACACCAACTACTTGCCCACCAGCCTGAAGAGCATGGTGGACCAGTTAGCCAACTGTGAGGACATCCTGATGAACTTCCTGGTCTCTGCTGTCACCAAGCTGCCGCCCATCAAGGTCACACAGAAGAAACAGTACAAGGAGACCATGATGGGACAGGTAAGAGGGCAGCAGCTGTGACCACTACACCACACCGCATGTGGAAGTATGAATACTTATAATGCTTAGATCCATCTCTTTGTTGCACTTGGAGAGCTTATTAGCGTTGGGGTTCTTTTAAAAAGAAGAGGATAACGGCCGGTCGAGAAAACTGGTTTGCATCTCATTACTGGATGTGACTGAGCCCGTAACAATCTACAATGCTGGATACAGAGCAGCCTTATTATACGGACCTCTTTGAATTTGTCCTTCTTTTCATGAGCCGTGATTCATGCTGAAGCCAGTGTTGTTTTCTTCCCTTCATGAGTGTGTCATGGCCTTTCAGCTGGAGCGAAGCCGTGCTGCTTTATGAACAGCATGAATTATTCTCTTTAAAAATCCTCTGGTATGGGCCACGGAAAAAAACAAAGGAAAAAAAAACAGGGCAAGTCATAACGACACACAGACAAAAGCACGGAAAGGAGTCGTGTCGGTCCCGAAGCCTTGCGTCACGCTTTCTCATCTGGCTCCGGCCTGTCAAATATGGCGGAGCTGACGATTTATTGAGAGAAGTTGACATCAGCCATCGTTCAGTGATGGCTTTCTCTTGTTACTACGATGAAAGTTTGACCATGATTGAGTCAAAGAGCTTCTTTTTGTTTAGTATACGTCTAAAATCCCTGCTTGTTAATGATCGTGGTCCGAATACGCTGACTGAAAAGTGGATTGAAACTAGCATAACATAAGAGTTTCAGTATTGGAGTATTTAGTCAGTTATGGACAGATACTTGGTGCCTTTCTACTCTTTTGGAGCACTCAACACACTTTTAACCTTCACATATTCAAACCCCAGCAAATGAGGATCTGACCCGCCAACCTTCCGACTGGTGGCCAACCACGCTACTTCCTGAGCCACGGCTACCCCAGTTAGCTTTTTACTCTTTTAGCGGTCAATCAAAAAATTTGGGTGGGAAGCTCATCTTGTAACCGGAAGGTTGCCGGTTTGATCCCCAGCTCTGTCTGTCTTAGTTGTTGTGTCCTTGGGCAAGACACTTCACCTACCGCCTACTGATGGCCAGAGGGGCCGATGGCGCGATATGGCAGCCTCGCTTCTGTCAGCTTGCCTCCACCAGTGTGTGAATGTGAGAGTGAATGAATAGTTGAATTGTAAAGTGCTTTGAGGGTCTCGAAAAGCGCTATATAAATGCAATTCATTGTATTATTATGTATTATTGTTATTTCCTGTTATTATGAGGAGGGTTTATGTAAAAATACAGGAGTCCGCCTGGATACCGGTGACAAAATATGCGTCATTACTAAATGGACCGGTTCACATATTGTGCTTTCCTACTCTGCTGGAGCACTTGAAGCCCTTTTATAAAACATGTTTCATTCATCGTTTGACACACATTCACTTTTTTCTACTGAGTGTGAATCTAACATTCACACTCAGTGGCTTTCCCAAGGACACTTTGGGAAGCAGACTGGAGCAGCCAGGGATTACACTACAAACTTCCCGATTAGCAATGACCTGCTCTCCCTCCTGAGCTACAGCCAACCATTAAGAAGAGGAATTCAAGGCTCCGATCATTTCAAGCGCTGCATAGTATAAATATAACGTGCATGTCCACATGAGATTATTATCCCGGCTTTATTCGCCATGCTTGCTATAATAGAATAATGCAGACATAAGAGAAATGCAGCCCTCCTCGGTCATGCTCATGCATATGACATGAACTGTGGCAAAATGAAAAAGTAAAGTAGTTCCTTCTTTCTCTGCCTCACTCATACATCATAGATTTGGTCTCATAAACTCTTGCACACTTGCAAAATATTGTTTTAAAGGGGTCCTACTGCGGTCATTTCCATACTTTTCGTCTTTGCTTGGAATGATTTACAGTTAAAATATTCCACATTTATAGGATTTAGAGGAGTTTGACGTCTATGCTTTTGGCTCACAGGGATTACCCGAACGTATTCTGAGCTCATTATTTGAAAATGTGGCCATGTTTAATATAATTATTCACTGCTGTAACAGGATACATATGACAGAAACTAAGGAAAAGCATCTGAGGCTCTTTTAAGACGCTACCACTGATATTTTATAAAGATCTGCAAAACTGGATTTTGTTCCAAAACACAGTCGACTTGTAATTAGTTTTTTCATCTTCCCCCAGGATCTGCATCTGTTATTGAAAACTCTAACTTTTCTTCTTTTTGTTTTTCCTCCTCTTCTCCATTCCCTCCAGTCTTCAAGGGCTTCTCGCTGGGCTGACCCAGACCACTTCGCCCAGCGGCAGACCTGCATGAACAAGTTCGCCAGCTGGTTTGGCGCCATGCCACTGGTCCATTCCCAGATGAGACTGGACCCCGTCCTGTTTAAGGACCAGGTCTCTATCCTCCGCAAGAAATACAGGGACATCGAGAGGCTCTGACAAGACCGCCGCCCCCTCGGGGGAGACCCTACGCAGGGGGAAAGAGACTCTGTGGAGATTAGGAGTCATCAGAGTACAGGGGGATGGACAGGGAGAGACACAGGTCTGTCTTCCACTCAGCACATTGCCAATGACCAGAGCGCCGCTGCTGGAAAGACTCGATGAGGAAAGGGATAAACGGGAAACGAGCGTAGGCCGTTTGGGTGTGAAAAAAGCAAAGAGAGTACACAAACTGACGGGCTTACCAAACAGTACTGTGTTTCACACATGTGCAAACACGCAGCACGCACTACTGACGACAAGAACTCTTGGATAGAATATTTTTTGTATGACACGGACGAGGACGACATCGTCTGTCCTGCTCTTTCGGCACACGTGCGGGGCGATGGTAGAAGACAGGAAGGTGTTTGTGATCTCAAACCTGGCAACCCAACCTGTTGTCCCAAGCAACCTTCCCTACTCTGGATCAGGACATAATACTGGACTCATTACCAAACTCCTGCTTTGTAAACCCATGAATATTTTCTTGCTCAGAGTCAAAAAAGAAACATTGTCCAACCTGTCCTTTTTTTTTTTTTTAGCAGCCATTACTTCCTAATATTCTCAGCAGTTGACAAACACCCCGCGTCTCCTGCCCTTGGCTCCTTCCTTTATGAGTTGATCTGGCTTTTATAATGGTCTATCTGCTCCCGTGTTATCACAAAGATAAGTTAGGAAAACATCTCATTTCATGTCCCATTTTCCTCTCGTACTCGCCACAGCAGTTGTACTTTTCTCATCTTTTTTCCCCACTTACTTTCATCATCTTTTATCCCCTCCCTCCCTTCAGACTCTCTGCTCTCCCTCTTGTCCGTGTGTGTGTTGTGTGTGCAGACCCTTGAAAAGTTGGCTCATCCAACCATAAGCCCGAGCGGAGTACATTTTCCCTCCGTTGGAATGAGCGAAATGAACATTTCTGGATGAAATGGAGCAGAACGTTGCATTCTAACCCAAACTTTTTTTTTTTCTCCTCCCCCTCTTCTCTCTCCCTCCCACCCCTCTTCCTGCATGGTCTCTGAGCACCAACCTTACTGTGGAGGGGGAGGCCATAGCAGGTCTTTGGTGACCAGCATCATTTCAGAGGACAGATTTTTAACGCTGAGCGCATCAGTGCCATTCTGACATCAGGGTCTGCCTTTAAAGTTGTTTATTGCACATCACGTTGCCTACATCCGTTTGAGATGCTCTTGTGTTGAAATATTGTAATCGCCACTTTTATGTGTATCTCCTGGCGCCCTGATTATTTTTATTCCCCCCCCCCCTCGTGACATATCCAAGGACCTCGGAGCCATTAAATTGACAAAAGGTTTTCTCCTCCATTTGTCAGGCAGAGATACGTTTAGGCTTCAATTAGGTATTTCGTTTGAAGTGCTGTTTTATTCCCAGGGGACACGCTGTTGATGAAACACCGAACATTATGGAGCATAGCGTTTGCGAAAACAGTGACCGGCAAACACGACCTGCTGTCTAATGCGATCCTTGGGATGACAGCTTTTCCCCCCTTGGCACACACCACCTGCATCAGTGTGTGTGTGAGAGAGACGGTGGCCACGCTCGGTGTCTTTTCTACGGCTGACACTTTTTTGCACCTTAAATGATCTTATTGGTATCGGACAACCAGATCAAAATGCTTAAATAACTAGATATCTTGACCTTTAATTGATCATTTTTAAAGACAGGCTGTCAGGGGAAGAAAAAATAAAGGTGGCTGGCTCATAGCTGAGCTGCTATATGCTGTCATTAGGTCTGCATGCAGCGTGCAGGCGGGAGCACAGGCGGTCCAGTCACACATTTAGTTTGCAGACACTTGAATGAAAGCAGCATGCTTTTAGTGGCCTTTTCTGTCAGACAGGCATTCAGCATAATGTCTCAGCCAAAGCTGCTCAGCGTGTTAATCAGTTAGCTGTCACTGACATCGTCAACATCAGTGTCACACATTCAGTGGCTGCTTTAGATTCATTTTTTTTTCTTTCTTCACACTTTGTTTTTATTTTCGCTTGACAAAGAGTTGATGTAAAATGTATCGTAAAGCCGTCGCTGTTTCAACAAAGGGGACAGACGTGCTTTGAAGTGCCATATCCAAATGCTACTATAGCAGAGCTGCTCTGTTTCCGCGAGTCATATCAAACCCAGCAGGACTAACTTGTGTTGTTTTGGTTTTTTTGTTCGTTTTTTTTTTTTTTGCCCCAATCATGTCACTGTTTTGAATATCGCTGTTTGTGCTTGTACTCTGAAACTTTGAAACTTGGAGTCGTTTCCCGGGAGATTCGTCGTCAGTGTAACAACATCGATACGTTGCGATTCTGGGAAACTCATGCTCCTCGCACGGTCTGCATCTGGCCTCTATTTCATCTTCAAAAGAGTCATATTGTTTCAATCCATATCAAGCCTTTTATGTCTGATTGTCAGAGTTACTGTTGTTGATCGTCTCAAGACAACCACATTCCCCAGCTTTGCAGATAATCCACACGCACTACAAAAAACAACCCACCACCTATTTCAAATCCCTGGTCTCAGCACTGTACATAGACATATTTATTTTTTGAAAAGGAAAAAAAACAAGACTGTGTACGATTTGAGATGACGCGGCGAGAACATTGAGACCGATCCTGCGTCGCTGAGGGGAGTAAGTGGTATTTATTCAGTTTATTTTCTACACGCTGTGCACATTAATCCACACAGATGCCGATATACAGCTCGTATTATGTCGCACTCTGCATCGGTTTTCCAGGGGAAGCATCTATCACACTCTTTCTAATACAGAGCTCCCCAAGTGAGATAACATTTCCAGAGTCGCCGTAGTGGAGTTTTAACTCCTGGAAAAGATTGCATACACCAGTGATCCAGAATTGGATTGGGCTGCTCCATCTTGGCTCTCTGCGGGAGTGAAATTGTAAAGTCCCAATAAAGACTACGCCAACTGACACGTGGAAAATAATAAGCAGCTGGGGCCCCCCAGCCCTCTCTCTCCTGCACCAGATGGAAACATTTTCACATTCTGCCGCAACATCTTCCCCTCATGCATTACAGTAATGCGTCTGAGGCTGTGACACAGTGGTTTAAATTGTCTTTGTCGCAGCTTGGGGCTCAAGTCGTAGCTCGCAAAACAGAAACGGAAGTGTATCTACAGTCTTTCAATTCCAGAGCTCAGTCAGAGTGTGATGGATGTGAGTCGGGGCCCTCGGAAAAGAAACAGCAACTAAACTTCGTATCCCCTTAAAATGCCTCCGTCATTTGATCAGGGAAACATTATGCAAGTTATCATCTTGAGCTTCAACACAGATGGAAGAAGGTTTACCCAAAACGTGTCAGGCGGTTGGCGTGTGCGCTGGAAACTGGTCTGCTCTCGATTTGATTTGTGCCTTTTTATCAACATGCGAGTTCCTGACATGCTGAGCACTGTCTGTCCCAGACTTGTTATTTCCAGTAGACGGGCAGCAATAGCACCATGTGCGGAGGACTCATATCCCTGCCTTCATACACTGGATGAGTCACAGTTTCCATTCTCTTGTTTTGACGCCCCATTTTCATTGTTGTGTTCGGACACTGTTGCTAAGGCGACAACGCATGACCACTTCCTGTTTCTGATTATTTATCAGTGATTGACTGTATTATGCGAGCAATCAGCAGTAGTGTCTGTTGATCTGTAAGGACTTGGTCAAGCCCAGCTGTCCTGATGCCTTCTCCTCCCTCCTACCTTGTAATTAAGAGAAGACTTTTATAGAGGTCACAGATTAAATAGAATAAATTCCAATTTTGTAAGAATGATTTATAAAAAAATAAACTCATATTTGATGGTAACTGCATCTCTGTGCCTTTATTTTTGTTTCCTTTTTAATTTTGCTTTAAAGAACGTGATGATTTGCCTCACATGGACCAGTTCTGTTTCCAAATCTTCACCTGCAAGTGCAACAGGGAAAAGCATACAGTACATGACAGACTAAGCAAATGACATGTACTAAAAGAGAAAAAATGTGTGAGGCTATTAGGAAAAACTGGATATAAGTAGGAAAGTGTTGACAGTTGTCACAATCCGGTAGGTGAAAGAGGCAGCAAACTGAAATGTCAACCAATGCCAACGCCTCCGACAACCATGATGGTTGAACTATCTACTATCACAGAGGGCAAAATGCAACACAATGAGATCCACATACCAGAAACTCAAGCAAGGACAGATAAGGAACTAGAAACTGGCAGTATGGTGGTTCCACTCCCACCAAGGCCACCCAAATCACCAGACTCAACACCAAAACACACAGTGGTGATGAACCCACATGAACCCAGAATTCCAGAGTGGCCACAACCTACAGCAAAGACCAAAATGCAGTGGGCACCAACTAGAAACGTAGAAGAAGGCCTCCACCAGAGCCTGAAGCACAAACCAAAACCCAACAGAGGCCAGGCAGCTCATCCTGGACCTCAAGCGAGCGCACAAAATGGTGACAAATTATTTCGAAAAGCCTCCTATGAAGAAGATCTGATAGCTTATATTATACCGAGGTTCTACTTTTCCAGTTACACGAGGTGCTGACTCCTCCCTACAGGCTCCTTCAAGCAAAGTTGGGGTTAAAAAAGCATCAGTCTTTATCCATGGTATCCAAATGTAACAATAAGGCTTAACTAAGCATAATCCTGTATTTTATACTGGAAGAGTCACTCTGAATCAATACAAAGCTGTTCTGAGTGGTCACCTTTACCCTATGACGAAACACTTCAATCAGCCAGAGAATAGTACATAAAGAAAAAATGTAACCTATAATTTATGGCCTACACAAAAAATATGGGATTATTTTTTGAATGAATGTTCATTGCACCAGTTAAATTCCCGGGACTTGGGAGAAACAATGCCAATACGGCGTGATCCAAAACGTACCACAAAATAGCCGAGTCTAAAGTTTGAGCCACAGATGTGGGCTAACACAAGAAATTCCTCACAAATTTCTTCCAGAGGAATGTATCCCAACTTCTGCTCATTAAGCTAAGCAAAGTTCAGTCTTAAAACATTTTGAAATGTGGGGTGGGTCCCCAAAGGCACCACGGAAGAAATGAAATGGCTGTGGATCAGTATCAAATCCACTGAAAATGATATGACATTTTCAGTGATCCTTGACCTTTTTGAGTGGAAGTGGAAAGAAGGAAACGTTGGGTTTTTCTTTAATATGTCATCCATCTACAGTTGAAAACCCAAATAGAGTCGTGTGCAGTTTTCACAGGACCGTATGCAGTTTAGTTCTCTGAGGTTTACTTTTGTTTATGCGCAGCTCTCTAAAGGGCCAACCACAGCATTTCATTCGGGTTGACATCTGGACTTTGGACCATTGCAACTCCTTGATTTTCTTTTTGAGCTGTTCTTTTGTACCCAAAAAGTTGATTCTGTTCATTTTGGGGGGATTTCCTTACCTGGATGATTGAGCACACATCAAGACTGTTCTGTTGTAGATTCCATGCTGTGTTTGGGCCCATTGTCCTGTTACTTTACACAATTTGGACAAAACTGTCGGGAAGGATCGCCTCAACTTCGACTGTGGATCGCTGTGGGATACAGAGGAGTTCATGGTCGACTCAGTGGCTGTAAAGGTGCCCAGATCATCAGCTCTCCACCTCAGTGCTTCACAGCTTATATGAGGTGTTTGTGCTGATATGTTCTTTGGCTTTAACTACTGACAATGCTGTGCTTTGGGGCCAAACGGCTCCATTTAAGTCTTGTCTTTCCAAATGACGTCATTTTAGAGAGAACCCTTCCAAACTAGCCATACTTTTTTGAATTGTACTGTCATGACCTTAGCATCTAACATGTTCACTGAGGCCTGTAGCTTTTGTTGTCTCTCAGCATTGTACGGTCTGACCTTGGGGTGAATTTGCTGGAACCTCCACTGGGAATCCTGTGGTGTTGTGTTAACACACACCTGAATGCTTTAGACCCGCAAACTTCCAAAACTTCTTTTACAGAGGTGCTCACAGTTAGTCAAGTCATTTTGATTAGCAGCACCTCGATGCTTTAATTCCTCTGGAAGACAAAAAGATTTACTTTTCATCTTCCAGACAGGAAGGACGTAATAAAGGATATTACATGTCCCAGTGTCTGAGGATTACTTTTTCCCGAACAGACGCTGCAACAACACTGATGATTTGTTTGTGCTTGCTTTTGTGCACACGTTGTCAACAGCCGAGTGCAACCCTGCACATTTTTTTTTATTAATTTCATCATCTGTGACAGAGTGTGCACGGACAAGTACTCAGCCCCTGACCTCTGCCTCAGCTGAATGTGAACACACTCCATTTGTACAGTAATAATAGTCCCTCGATGCTGCGTTGCCCTCTGCGATATAATAACCACCCCAGTATTAGACCACTGAGGAGGGGTTTATTAGTCACTACTCAGAGCATTGATTTCCCCCCACAATGCTGAAAGCCTTCTCACTGCTCCAAAGCTGCATCTGTCCTTCTGCGTCTCCCTGAGGACAATAGCCTCATAACACATCTAAGATACGACCCCAGCTTTGTTCTGAATTATTAAAAGCACCCATATCAGGCACTGATATTCTCATGCATATCTGTGACCTGACAGCAGTGCCGTATTTGTGCGTGTGTGTGTGTGGATTTGTTGCCACGAACATGTACTCAGATTTAAGCTCATGTTTCATGTTTGGTTGAATAAGGCCCTTTGTGAGTTCTTCTCACTGCTTCTTTCTTTTCTGATCTATAAATGAGGCTTTTTTAAACTGAGGCTGGAATCACAGGACACCAACAGAGACCAAAAAGCTCTGACGAGTTGATCTGGCGCTCCTCTTATCAGAGCAGGGCCTTTATTTATCAAGCATCTCACAGTAAGAAATCACTTCTAATTGGCCGAAAGTTTTTAAGAGTGACGTGCTTTAAGCTTCTAAGAAGAAAAACCCACATTATATGAAATGGCTCTTATCTTCTCTAATATTTATGAGAGATTGAGACATGTGCAAACATGTTTGGAGTCACAAGCAGATGGTGTTCAGGCTGAAACGTGCGTTTGAAGCACATGTCATTAATGACTTAAAGCTTATTAAAATGAGGAATTCTTTTATGGACTTTGTGGGAGATTCAGCAGGGTGAATGCAGCTTTGATTCGATTCCAATCACAACCGGTGTTTTTGTTATTTTCCTGGTGCAGCTTTGCGGATATTTTTGTTATTTCCAAACTCTTTGGAGCGAATTAACGAAAAACGAGCTGCATGATTTTTTTTAAGAGTGGTGATGTTAAACTTGTTTTACATACAGCTCACTGTGATCTTAAGTGGGCCGGAACAGTGAAACTCCCCTTTCAGTCAGCGTAAAGAAGTTTAACGAAATCAAATTACACTGAGATATTGTAAGAAAAGAAAAAGAAGTGCAATTTCAACTTCGCAAAAATGCTGCTCTATTACCAGAATGGGAAAAAAAAAATCTATCAGCACTGTAAGAAATACTGTAATTGAGTTAAAACACTAAAATTTATGCCCTTGTTCGCATTTTCCAAAGATGTGCGCACGTGCAGAGGGCCGGATTGGACTCTTATACGGGCTGATTCTGGTCCCTGGGCCTTTTGTTTGAGACCTCTGGTTTAGAGTTACTGACAGCTGACCTTTACCTAAGATGTAGTTATATTGAGTGACATTTTTCCAACAGTGGGTAGATGAGCTATAATTGGCCTCACCTGTAATAATACACCAGATGATTTGAAATATCAACTGGACTTTTATGAAGAGGAGAAATTCTGTCTTCAATAAAGACACACTCACGCACAGTAAAAGCACGCTGCGGTCCAGTGATTGGACCAGACTGCATATAAAAAGAAGTGATGTAGCCTCCGGGTCTGATAAGTGAAGCAAATGCCTAAGTGCCTTTGGATCTGCATTCCTCCTAATGACAGGCAAAGGATGCAGCGGTTAGCACTGCCGCCTCACAGCAAGAAGGTCCCAAGTTTGATTCCACTGGTCGACCGGGTCATTTCTATGTGCTTCGATGTTCTTCCTGTTTCTGCGTGATTCCCTTTAGTTTCCTCACATGTATGTTAGGTTAACTGGTGAATCTTAATCAGCTTTAGGTGTGAATAATTCCTTTTTCTGTGTTAAACCTTTGATGAACTGGTGACCTAAGAGCTGAGAGTGGTCTCCTGGAAGATCTCATCATACTAAGAGATCTTTGAGATTCAACAGGGTTTGATTATTTAAGACTTTGTATGTGATAAGAAGGATTTTAAATTCAATCCTGGATTTAACAGGGAGCCAGTGAAACTGGGCAAAACAGTGCAGATGAAAGAAAGCAGTCTTACATACTTGTTATATATGTATTGAATGACATCTCCTGATTACTGGAGGCAAAGGTAATGCTATCCATAGCAAGCATCTTATTACATACACCATATTTCTAAGGTTTTAGGGCCAAATATAATGACCTCACTCTTGTCTGAACTGTAAAGGTGGTTAGCGCTGTTGCCTCACAGTAAGAAGGTACTGGGTTCAAATCCACCATCTGGCCGGGGCCTTCCTACGTCAAGTTGTCTGTGCTCTGGCTTCCTCACCCAGTTCAAAGACATGCAGTTTGTGGGATTAGGTTAACTGGTGGTTCTAAATTACCTACAGGTGTGAATGGCTGTCTGTCTCTCTGTGACAGCCCTACAGGCAGTGTATCCTGCCTCTTACTCCATGGCAGCTGGGGCTGACTTCAACAATGCAGGAAATTAGAGCTCACCCAGGCCTTTAAGAAATGCCTTTAGTTTAGTTTAACCAACTGATTTGAGTGACTGCATGGATAAATAAAGCTGGGATTCATCTGATTAGCCATGAAAATGGATGTTGTGTTTTGTAATACTACCACTTAAGAGAAGTATGTACAATATAAAAATTAAAGGTCCCAGCACAGAACCCTGAGGAACTCCATGACTCGCTGTGTGAGAAAGATTCCTCATTTACATCCACAAACTGGTATCAAATGCTGTACTGAGGTCCAGCAGAAGCACACAAATGAATTTACCATCAGAGAGTATGATGAGGGTCCATTAGTAACCTTCAGTTGTGCTTCCCTCAGCGTTAAAACAGCAACACTGTGGGAAATGCTTAATGAAAATACAGATTAAATAAACCAAAAAAAAAAGAGTGATTCAAAAAATAAAATCACAGGAAGATTTAGTTCAGTTGTTATAGGATTACGGATGTAAATAAGCTGTTTTACTAAAATCTTGTTTGTACACTTGGCATACTAATGTTCTTGAACATGTGTTGTCCCCATTACTTACAAGAAAATGAAAATTGGAACCAGATAATCGGTTGGATTAAAATACAAGCTAACATCCACTTTAAAAAGATCAACATATTCACAATAAGACTCGTGGTTTTGCCACAGTGTTTTTTCTTATTGAAGTTCTCAAGTACAATATACATTTGTAACATAGGCATGTAACAGAATATAAGGATTAAATAGAATATATCAATTTCTCTACAGGCATAAACCCTCTATTGAGCTAGCAGCTACAGACAGATAAAACATTAACTCTTCAGATTAACTGAGAAGGAAAAAAAAATGCTGATTGTAATGTTGAATGTCGAGGTAGACAGAATCTTTTCTGCCATGCTGATGACACCGGTGCCCTCCATCCCCTGGCTCCTCCATGGGATGTCTTGCCCTCATTTGTCTCCTCTCGTGTATCCTCTGTTCTTTAATGTCTTCTTTTAGAAGCCTTTTGATATTGCTAGAGTACCAATTCCTTCTGTGAAGCACTGCTTCAGCCAGTCTGTGGTAACCTGTCATAGATCCAGTTTAAGAACCCATCACCAATCCATTATCTGTAGTCCATGTGTACCTGTGGATGTCCTACATACAAGGTGCAATCAAAAGAGAAAGAATCGACTGAGACATTGATTATGTGAATGTGAACGGGTGATTGAATTAACTTTTGTGAGTCAGGGGTCATTGATATTTTTGTATCCACGTGCAGGTGCACATTTATGCCGTGAAACAGGCACAGTGTCTCAGAGTCTGCAAGCAGATCTATCAACAGACTCCAGAATGAGCCAAAATCTGTCTCGCAGATCATCGATTTTAGTTGGCTGTTTTGCTTTGCCTTAACAACTAAACAGGTTGTTTTTGCAGGAGAAGAACCTAAAGTGCCAAAGCATGAAGTGCAGAACAAAGAGCATGCTTTGCATTGTTTTCTTCAACATTCAGTGTGTGCACTGTGAATTCATCCACAGTGTCAAACTGTCAATGAGGTCTGCAGCAACGTCCTGAGGGAGAAGATTCAACCAACACAAACTTTGGCACGACGGCAGCTCGGTGGTTCGTGGTGACATTGCACAGGTTCTTTGGCCACACTGACACACCCACTACCCACCCTATGCCTCGTGTTGTTGCTGAACAAGTAAGTCCCTACAAGCTGTTTGCTTAGATCATCCTTGCTCACAAAATGAGCTTCATATTAAGCAACAGCTGTTATTTGGAAGCTGTGGATGAGATGCAGCCTGTCGTAAAGACTACTTTACTTTTAAAGATTTTATAGATACCGTCTCTAAACTTTCTGATTGCACCTTGTACACGTGTGTTTGTGTGTGTGGCTCAGCTCCTGACAGCCAGCATGGAGTTGATCTCCCAGATGAGGTTGCGGAGTTGGTCCATGATCTGTTTCAGGTGCTGGTTCTTCTGCTTCAGCTTCTGTAGGAAAAACATAGAAAAGAGACGGGAAAAAGCACGTTTTAGATACAAAAGCAATAATAACTACAAATGTGAGAGCAGTTTGGTTACTGAAAAAAAAGGCCTGCTTAAACAGTGTAAAACCAACAAAGCAATTATATACACACACAAATAATTACAGATTTGTTTGCAGCTACTACCCACAACAACACAAACACTGATTCATACCATTTACTATAACACTGTAAATCCTTGTAACATAAATTACTTAACAAACGCTACTGAAGAAAAATAAATTCCAGATGTGATCTCGCTCCTAATGACGCTGCCACTTTGCCGCTCCCATTAGAAAACAAGCAGGTTCTAACCCCAAAGTCTGGCTCGACAAATATTTTCAAAATTAGTATTAGTCAGTTATTCTGAAGGCAAATAAAATGTTAAAATACGCACACACAACTTTTGACTGGGAAAGGCTTTTAGTGGGGACACTGCTGATACTTGGGCTGGTGTCAAAAATCACTGCCAGATTTGGGAGTGGTTTAGAAAAACGTCACGGTAAAAGGCGCAGGATTACGTCACTTATTCCTCCGTTCTACAGGGCTCAATTGTTCCTACAAAATGAGTCACATGGTGGCAATGTGCAGCTTGTTCCTTAATTAAGATAAACAACCCGCTTTAACCCTCGAGGGGCTTAGTTTGTATTTAACTGGTTCCTCCAAAAATCTGCACCGTAAGACACAAGCAGGTTGCGGATATAATTTTTTTAAGCACGCCATGCTTCGGTAAACTCAAAATAACATTATCAATAATTTAAATGGTAGAAAGTGAATTTCCAATATTTTATTCATTTTTCAATGAAATAAAGTGTTTTGTTTCTTCAAACTTGGCCTCTGACAAACAAAAGTACAGCTGAGAGCTTTTCTGGTTGTTTGTGTGTGGTGAAACCCTAGAGGGTTAATTCGAGTCAATCGTTCATCCACCATCCTGCTGCTATAAATGATCGGCAAAATAAAAAATGTGCATTGCTCTGCAGCTGAAGATTGTCTCCAACAATGAACCATTTAATCCCCGTCTGTCATAAACTGGTTAAAAAAAGATCCTTGCTGTACTTAAACATTTTGGTGGTTTTAATCTTATTGCTAAGAAAAACAGTGCCAATATCTAGCAGGCATCACTTTTACCTTGTTCAACATCTTACTTTAGTGTATTAACATGCTCACATTTACTAATTAGAATCAGTTCCTTTGTGAAGCTGAGTGGTGTAGGTAATCAACATCTGATTGTGAGAATTCGTCCTGGATTGTGGAGAAAAATCAGCACTAAATGCAACTGCATGTTTCCTGAGCTGCGCAGAATAAGAAGCTTGTTTTTCACCTGAAAAGCTGTTAAGTCACTACAACTCCACACTATACGGTGTAGCCTGTGGAAACAGAAGAGCTGTGTAGGTGCTGCTCTCTCTAATTCAGACTTCAGATGTACAGCTGCTCAAGTGGTGATTATAACTGTCAGCTGAACAATTCATAATCAACCGCATTAAGTGAAGAATTGAATAAAATACATTAGGAAATGTAAGGTTAGTAGCTGATGTCAAAAAACATATTCAAAATACAAACTGCCCATTGCTTAGACCAGGGGTGGACAACTCCAGGCCTCGAGTGCCGGTGTCCTGGAGGTTTTAGATGTGTCCATGATCCATCACAGCTGATTTAAAGGGCTAAACGACTCCTCAGCATTTCTTGAAGTTCTCCAGAGGCCTGGTAATGAACTAATCATTTGATTCAGGTGTGTTAACCCAGGGTGTGATCTAAAACCTGCAGGACACCGGCACTCGAGGCCTGGCGTTGCCTACCCCTGGCTTAGACCCAGCAGGGCGTCGGTTTAAGCCGAGTGAGCCACCGGGCTGAAAATATACTGGCAGAAAACCTGAGAAAAAACAAAACTCACAAAATGTCACTTTCATTGAGTGAAACTAAAACTGTGGTCAAGATGAAATCAACAAATAATTCAACAACCATGTAACGGAAGCGAATTCACAAACCAACTTATGTTTAGGACAGGGGTGTCCAACTCCAGGCCTCAAGGGCCGGAGTCCTGCAGGTTTTAGATCTCACCCTGGGTCAACACACCTGAATCACATGATTAGTTCATTACCAGGCCTCTGGAGAACTTCAAGACATGTTGAGGAGGTAATTTAGCCATTTAAATCATTTATCTCACTGGCTTGATCTAGAACTCAAATATTCAAAAGATTTCAACAAAGCTGTGAGGCTGAAAAATGAAGCCAAAAAGTGCAGTCTCTGTAACGGCTGGCTCCAGTCCTCACAGACTCCCATGTTAAAGCTTCCAGCAGTAATGCCATTTCATTTTTGACTTTCTGCTTTTCTTCAGATTAGTTTCCTGTTAGAGGCCAGACTGGAAAATCAACACAGGGTTGGACCATCAGGGGTGGACAAATATTAATAATATTCCCAAGGGGCTACAAGGGAAACTGGGACTCTTGCGGAGGGCCATCCCAACGAACTAAATTCATCTTAATATTAATTTTTAACTCTTTATCTTTTTCTGAACTGCTACTGGTAAATGTTGGAATTAGACCCCAGTTGAGGTCCCTTGAGGAAATTAGCTGCAGAGCGTTGTGGATGGACAGAACATGTGAAATGTGTTTTGTTTTCCTCTTTCTGAAATGTGTATGGCAGGAGGCTTAATAAAAGCTTCAAAGCCACATTTAACTCCAGGTATTTCTCCCGCACACAATAAACAAAGTTTCCTCACCTGCCTGCTGACATCTCTCCCAAACACTCCCTGCTTCAGCTCACTTCATCAATCCTCGCCCCACTAATCGCTAAACTAACACACGCATCTGGCCTGTTTCGGGAGGGTACCGGTACATCACAGAGCAGCAAACAACACAATCTCCCAGTTAGTCACTCAGGGTTTTGTTCGCTGATTGCCTCTAAATGCCGCACCAAGATCTCTAAGTCAACAGCTGCCATGGACTGAAGTGCCTCATTGCCCAAGCTTTATACATAAACAAATAATAGCTCCTGAGCTGCTGTTGCTGGAGAGCCAGAAGAATAAAAGTGAGTACAGCTGCCAAATGTGCGTTGCCTTTTGAAAAAATAACTCTGCCATTTGGAGGTTTGGGCAAATCAAGCAGCAGCAGTACATCACAGCGACTCGCTCAGCCGCTTCTCCTCTGATAGATATCCAGAGTGAGTGAGGGGGAGAGAAAGAGGAGAGCTCCTTCACTCAGGAGCTACTGTATCTGCAGTGCAGTGAAATCTATTAAGATTAAATCCATCTCACTCTCTCGCTAACACTCCTTTAGCCATGACTAATTACCAGCCATTTTTGCAGCGCAGATAACACCTTGAGCAATCGATTTCACACAGCTCTTTTAATATCAACTGTTTAGCTGATTGTCCTTGAAGATATTCCACAGTGGAACATTTGGAAGCCTTCCAGTCTTTCTCCCCCTCACTCTTCCCCTCTCTCTGGGGGGCTCTAAAAGCATCTCAAGCTCTCTTACTCCATCCTACCTTCTATCTCTCCAACTTACACTTTGAGTCTTAAGTGTGTGTGTGTGTGTGTGTGTGTGAGAAGATGGCAGTGAGTGTGTATTAAAAGGGATATGCCTCATTAATCTGACAAGCAAGTCTTGAAATAACTCGGTCATTTACGTATTAATGAGACGATACCCAGAGTCTTTGTAATCTTCCTCCAAGAATACAACGTTGCTCCCCTTTTTTTTAAAAAAAGTGAAACACTTTTTGCTCCATGAAGCTTCAAAAAAAGGAGCTGCACTCAGAAATATGTTTTTCATCTTGCTTTTTAAGAATAAAACAGCCACATATGGCTTCAAAGATACATTTTTTTGTCTTCACTTTTGAATACAGACTCTTCCACAAAATTGTGCCCTATGCTTTCTTTGAAAGCAGGCAATAAAATTATACATTTTTCACAGTGGAAATAAGACTATAGAGGCAGCAAAGCCTTCACAGCACATTTATTATAAAAGGCTCGCTGGCATATCTTGATATATGAATAACAAGACTGCTATTATCACAGTAATGATTCGGCAACCTCAGGGAGATATAATTCCATTCATAACCTCATAATTAGCGGAACTCTAATCCTTCACACCTATAATGCAATATTTGGAGAAAGGGTTTACAATAGAGAACAAAGAACTCTGAACTGTCTCCTCTTTGTCTGAATTACCAGGCTTTTTGCACACACTTCAGGAATCCAGCAAATACGCTCCCTCGTTTCTCTATGTTCGGACCCACAATAATGTTCTGATGTCCTTTCAATCCACAGCAAGAGCACTGACAGGCCATCACCCGCTGCAGGGTGGCCAGTCAACAACTCATGAAAGTAAACAAGAAACCACTGTCTGAGTCCTGTCTCCGAGGGCCTCCTGCAGACTGGGAGACTTCCTACCTGCTTCGTATAACCTGGAAACGCTGGTAGTAGTCTGCGGTAGAGCTTAAAAGAACAGCGACCTGAGATAGAAACTGTGATTGGCACGCCCAGAAGAGAAGCAGCGAGATGAGGGGAGTGAAAATAATGGTCCAGAACAAGTGTTTAGGTTTTGTGTGTGTGTGTGTGTGTGTGTGTGTGTGTGTGTGTGTGTGTGTGTACATGGAAAGGGTGGGAGGATAAGGGTGTGTTTGTGTGCATCAGTCTCTGTCGTGCAGGTGATTTATCCACAGTTTTTACTTTGGACGTTAAAAATCAGAATCAAGACATCTGTGGTTTGCAGAAATCAATGATTCAAAAGGAGAATGCAAGTCACGCTGTTACGTTAAAAAAAAAAGGCTTTTACTTTATCTGCTGTGCGGACAGAAAGCCACTGCAGCCGCGATCACCGTTTATCACAGAAGCTCGGTGCTGTTTGCAGGTTCTGTATTTGAACATAATAACACTGCAGCCAAAGCCATGTAACAACCGCCTCATCTTACTGCATATAAAGGGGAATATGGCAGAGGTTGACAGGTTTTAGATTTGGAAAAAGAGTG